TGATGTGTTTGTCGGAGTAAATTCTGATTTACATAATTTTCGAACCGATTCTATATCCTGTATAATTGTCTGTCTTTTGTAATTCTGAAAAAAGTTTTATTTCTATAGAACGTATTACAGATATTCATATAGTAAGACATGCTTTTCCAATTTGGAGCACAATATTGGCGGCGTTTAGTTCTACATACCAGGTACTCATTTTGGATAAAAAAAAAAGAATAAAAAACAGTAAGGCAGTTCAGACGATTGATTCAAGAAATCCCTTATTATATTAATCTAAAACAAAACAAATTTATTAATGCATAAAACTCGGCAACCTACCTGAAGTCCTGACGATAAACTATAACCTCAAACATCAAACTTTCTACGTTGATTGAAATATTTCAGTCAACGCATTCTATTGCTGTTGATTGAGATTGGAAATACAGATTCGATCTGTGGTTGCAGATTTCTGTTTAACAGTTTCTATAAAGGGAAATGTTTTGCTGCACCAACGTGAGATGGCCTCAGTGAATGCATGCTACGTCCGCCCTATCCAATAAAAGCCTCTTATTTATTTGCTCTTATGTCTAGAACAACACGAGAACCACAAAACAGTAAAAGGAATGAGAACCATAGATTAAACAGACATATATGAGAACTGAGAACAACCATATACATAGACCTTATAAACCATAGATTAAATACTTTTATAAACTACTGGACTCGCCCAACTGTCATTTTGCCAATATACAGGGTGTTTGGTAAGTCGATGCATTCCTTGCAAGAGATTATAGTACAAGCGATTTGTGAATGTTCTGAAAACGCTTAGTTTCCAATCTACAGGATGTTAGTTTTAATAAAAAAATTCAAATTTATAAATATTGCGGAAATCGCTTAGAATATTTTAATGAAATTTGACAGGCTTTGACAGTTAACATCAATATATGTTTTACGACAAATATATTGTTTTCTCTAGATATTGTTAAAGAAAAAAATGATACAGCACTGATTTTTCTTAAAATAAAAATTATTTTTTAATTCCTTGTTCAATTTAGAAGAGAAAAGGTATCTCAACTGTTTTTCTTATGAGGCACCGTTTTCGAGAAAAAAAAATAAAATCGATTTATTGCACGACGTAATTCGGTTTCAATAATTTAAAAAATTGCAGAACTGCTTCAATCTCAAACACTCAAAGTGACAGCTATTATCAATTTTGTCAAAGAATAACAAAAACGAGAGTGCACAGCTAACTTGCTAATTTCTGTAGTGAATAGTGAATTTTTTTTAGACTGATGTTAACTGCGACGAACAATTGTTTGTAATAAAATAATTGGTACAAAAAAAAGCTGAGTGCATAATTTCTGCTAGTTTTCAAATTATTGAAACTGGATTATTACGCCATGCAAGAATTTGATTTTATTTTTTTTATTTGAAAACAGTCGAGATACCTTTTCCCTTCCAAATTGAACAAGGAATTGAAAAATAATTTCTATTTTAAGAAAAATCAGTGACGTATCATTCTTTTATTTAAAAATATCCAAAGACGTGCCTGTGCGCAAAAGCCACTGGTGAAACTAAAAACAATATCTTTATCATAAAACATGTATTGTTTTTAATTGTCTAAGCTTATAAAAATTCATTAAAATATTCTGAGAGGTTTCCGCAATATTTATAAATTAGCATTTTTTATTAAAACCTTATCACCCTATATAGATCAAAAACTAAGCGTTTTCGGAATATGGTATATTGAGGAAATATATCACAAATCACATGCACTATAACCTCCTGCAAGGATATAGCATTAAAATATATGTATTTGACTTACTTTTAAAGTAACTATGTGTATTTTGTTTGTGAATTTCAAATTGGCGGATTCAGTATGGTGCCTGAAACGCCCGAAAGCCACTATAAAATTCACAAAGTCAGTATTAAAGATCGCGCAGTAATGAAATTTACCCCAAAAAGCATTAGGGGTTTTCGTGGATTGTGTATAATATTTTAGTCAAACTATTGAATCTCAAAATGGTGGATCCAACATGGCGCCCGTACGGGTAAAAAATAGCAAATAATATTAAGAAATCTATACTTACTAACAATTCCAGAATCATTCATTTTAACTTAACAAGGCTCACTGGGAGGGAGATCTTTACACTCGTCTTAATTTCTAGTGTCAGGTTATCGAATCTCAAAATGACGGATCCAATATGGCGCCCATAATTTAAGCTTGAAAAACGTCATATTGGACCGCCATTTTTCTATTAATAAACATGACTCAACAATATCATACAGCAACCTCGAGGATCCTTAAATAATAGCCTAATTTAGGTAAATTCAACCCTCGTATGGATTTCCTTTGAACTTCAGTAATTTTGCAGGTATTTATTACCTCAGTACAGGGTGTCCCATAAGCACATGATCAAAAAGGTACTGCGACATTCTTTGGCTCAAAAGACGACGATTTGACCTAACTTCCATTAAGAAAAAATGTCTGGTTTCTCTGCTATTGACTGTCAAAGTTCTTGTAAAAAAATATGTTTTTTGTAATATCTGGAGAATGTTACGATGGATTTTAATGAAACTTGCTGTGGACTTGTTCCTAAGTAAGACTCATGTTTTGATGAAGCAACCGCGTCCATCCGCCTTGGGCTAGTGGTAAATTCTTGAGTGTCATGGTACAAGAATTACCAGAACTTTTTCGAGATTATCGTGCTCTTGATAAAATCTTGAAGCATTCATAGTTTCTACGCAAAATTTTTTTTCAATTTTAGACAATCATTATCACTACTACTCAAGTACAACAACTACTCACTACAATTACTACTATTGTAGTAAGCGATGATGTCATTTTTTAATAAATGAATTGTCAATCTTTTGACGTTAGTCGGACAGTTCGATACATTCGTTTCGAATGGAATTTTCTAATGAAGAGATGACCGACTGATCAAAGTCTTAAGGTTTTGCGAAGACAACTTGGGTGGGAGTGTACCCGTCTACGCGGCGCGATACCCAAATCGACGGGTTTCAGATTACCGATTTACATGGATTGAAGAGTTTGTGGGAGACTGGGCAATTTGGTGTTCGAGCCATTGACCGTGTGGGTCGTCCTCAAGTACGAAATGAAGCCGTTGAGGGAGACGTTTCAAATAGGGTCGATGAAGATCCAAATACTCCAGTACTCGCCATCTGACAGTGGAATCTGGCATTCCAAAAAGTACAATTAATCGCATCGTAAGATAGCATCTCCTCCATCCTTGTCATGCGACGTCTATTCAGGAGCTTTTACCACACCATTTTGAGAGAAGACTTCAATTTTGTCCCTATATTTAAGGAGCGCGGGCACGTGATCCAAATTTCACCAGCCGAATTTTATTCACTGATGAAGCTGGTTTTACCAGAAGTGGTATCTTTAATTCACGTAATTTCCACCATTACGCTGAAGAAATCCCTCATGCGAGGCGTATTAACCACTTTCAGGTGGAATTTCCAATAAATGTTTGGGCCGGGATCATCGGTGACTTCCTTCTGGGTCCTTATGTCATGTCGCGCCGCTTGAATAGCGAAAATTATTTCAATATTCTGACGAATACATTTCTGGTTCTAATGGAAGATGTCCCTCTCGATCTTCGTGCTCAGATGTAGTTTATGCACGATGGTGCTCCTCTGCACTTTAGTGCAAATGTAACTGTACATTTAAATAATACTTTTCCACATAAGTGGATTGGAAGAAAGGGAGAGATGTTCCTGTCGAATGCCCCCCAGGTCCCCCGACTTAACGCCGTTAGATTTTTTCATATTGGGAGCCTTCAAGAATAAAGTTTACGCTACTCTTGTGGAATCCCAGGAACAATTATTGCGTAGGATTCAAAACGAGGCAATTCAATTTCAATCGAAGGATCCAGCTATGCATCCAAGAAAATGGGGGACATATCAAACATGTCTTGTAATTCCACCATCATCTATCGTATCTATGTAACTATCATCCAGTTTCAATAAAGAGAATTGTGTCTTTCTTAAGTACGTCTTTACATTTTTTGAGTGTTAACAAAAAATAAATCTAATGCAGTAAAATGATATTCAATCCGACGCATTGCGACAGACTTTCAAATTGCGACCATTTGACTTTCAATATTGATATCCTAGGTAAAAGAATTGGCAATTATTATTAGAGAAAGCTGCTTCTTGTAAAAGAGCAGATTTACTGCGATCCATGTAAAATTGTTAAGTCGCAACGAAACAGAAAACATTTTTTTGCGTAAAAACTATGAATGCTAAAGGATTTCACCAAGATACTTACTACGATAGTAGTGATTGTAGTGAGTATTTGTTGTACTTGAGTAGTAGTGATAATTATTGTCTAAAATTGAGAAACATTTTTTGCGTAAAAACTATGAATGCTACAAGATTTTACCAAGAGTATGAAAATCTCGAAAAAGGACTGATGAATCAATAAAAATAAAATGAATTGATTCCAGCGACCAAATAAAAAGTTCTGGCAATTCTTGTACCACGACACTCAAGAATTTACCACTAGCCCAAGGCGGATGGACGCGGTTGCTTCATCAAAACATGAGTCTTACTTAGGAACAAGTCCACAGCAAGTTTCATTAAAATCCGTCGTAACATTCTCCAGATATTACAAAAAACATATTTTTTTACAAGAACTTTGAAAGTCAATAGCAGAGGAACCAGACATTTTTTCTTAATGGAAGTTAGGTCAAATCGTCTTCTTTTGAGCCAAATAATGTCGCAGTACCTTTCTGATCATGTGCTTATGGGACACCCTGTATATTATGCATGAAGAAAACGAGGGATCATCGTGGGCACAAAATGGTTTTGTGAAGTCCCTCCTAGAAACACATTGACTTGCACAACTTCCAAGTGGTGAATTATGACATTACATTAAAAACACAAGTTAGATGTAGAATGGAATGAAAAAAAATTACGGTTGAAGAAAATTAGGTCAACTTCAAATTGGTGCGGTATGGTTCATTTTGATGATGTTCAAAATAAAGAAGACATTGATCTTTAAATTTATTTTCTGACATATGTAACATTTCACAATATATATATTATATTACCCAATCTTCATATTCAAATAACAGTTTCCTAATCCGAAACAGACCTTCTTTCTCGCAAAGGCAAAGTGTCACGATGAGGAATACTTGTTTTAAATAATATGCCCTTATCTCCCACTGCACTGTTGTATCCGATTTCATATTGTTCTCCGGGTGCCTAAAATGTATACAAACATAAACATATGCAGTCTAAGATTACTTCTTGATACTCCAGTCAAATTAGATCATAAAACCTGAAAACTTGAAAAAATTATTAGTAGACATTTTATTGCACTTTGTAACGGGGAAGGGTATGTAGAACGATAATATCATAAAAGTGACATCAAGTTGAAAGAATGCAAATGAAGTGACAAATTTTTTTCACTTTCACGCCCACGAAAATCTAGACGACATATCGGAAAATTAGTTACTTTATGTTGTAGGCAATTAAAATGTCTACAATTTAAGGTACCAAGAGTCATTTATCACTAATTTGTTATCTGTAAAATAAAGGTCGAACGTAGAAATATCAGTTTTCCAAAATTGCATATTATTATTGCAAAAGCGATGAACGTTAATGAATTTTATGGAAAAAACGGTCAATCCAATGATTAACATGTGTGCCAATGTCCGATTCCATTGACCGTGAAATTGTTAATCCAGCTATTTGTTAATTAATTTTGTTCTTTGCAACTAATTGTTAATTACTAAACATTAATTTTGGAAGTTAATATCATAGTGATAGGTTCTAATTGATCCAAAGAAACGTATTCAAAAAGAAACATTTTAACAAGTTTAAATTAAGTAGCCCTTTACAACTAACGAAGTAGGACGTGTAAAACAGCATTCATTATAAACAAATTGCTCTGGGGTCAGGCAAAAGCCGCTAGGGAATTCGCTTTTTTTGCATTAAGTAGATCTTATTTTTATGGTAATTAAAAAATAGAAATCACCTACCTCTCTTTGTTTCCATGCTAGCTTTTTTTATATAACGTTAATTGTTAATTAACTATTGAAAAAAGGATTAAAACTTTTATTTTCAGAAAGTTTTACATTAATAGTTCATGTAATAAATGCGCCAGCAGCAGAAAAAGTTGATGTTAAGAACGGAAATTAAGTCCTGTTTCATCTAACAAAGTACTACAATATTCATATAGATGTCGCTACAGGAAATACGTTTATAGTAAAAATAGTACGATAATTTCATTCATTCAAATTCCGGCAAAATACACCTAAAAAAAACGAGAAAATGCCAGGTGCACGCACACGTGCACGATAATCAGTTGTCCGGCCTATACGTCCATCCCACTCTCTTGCTATCTCATAATTGCATATGAAAAGAGAAGGGTAATAAAATAATAAAAACTCCAATTTGCGGCCGCCGGTTTTTTGTTCTGAAAATATTTCTATTTTCTATCTTCTACATATTATTATGTACATATTTACAAAAAAGGAGGATGGCAAGTGGTTGTACAAATTTATAATATTTGCAGCCAACTAAAAGTTTTATTTCATATTATTTTCTACATTTTAGTACTTATATGGATTCGGACCAGAGTAGGTGCGAATGTAATTATTTCTTGTATGGATCTTTGAGCTGTTATCTTTTATTGTTGCGTTGTGGCTGCGAAATATTTTATTTGTGGAGTTTACTATTTTTTATATGAAGGAAAAAACATTAACAGAGTAAGTATTACAATTTGCTAGGCATAGTTGTACTTAGTACTAAATTCAAGTAAATAATAGATATTAAAATAAATATGTAGGTATTGTATTTGATTATTTGAAAATAAAAATTACATATGCGACAATGGACTTTCCGCTTACTTAGCCGTAATATAAATATGACATATTGTCGTTGCAATGCACATACAGGCTGTTCCAATAGTGTGACAAAGTTTATAATTATTTTCAGTTATAGTTGTATAGGGCAAAATCTTCAGGCCAAAAACAAGATTTTCTGAACGTTTAATTCGGTCTGAAAATAATGAATAATGGAAATAATAATAAAATGTGAATCCGAGCAAGTAACTTTTTTCGTATCACTACTACAGGCAGTTATACTAAACTTTATCGCACTATTGTGGCACCCTATATATGACTAGATATATCATTATGGTAAATCAAAAGCATAATAGGTAAAAATGTATAATTATCTATGTTTATAACAAATATTATCTGGTAAAATTCTTTTCTTACTTTCAGATACGGAACCGGAAGAAGTCTATATGTTATTTCGTAATATACCTATAGTGGTGAAAACAACCCACTCTATGTAGAACAAATTAAGAAATATGAAGAATTATGGAAAAAATCAATGGCAACAAATTTGGAACAATTTTATAAAAATTGTATACTACCAGAAATAATATACAAAAATATTCCACAGGGAAAAAGATGTATGGATCCAGAATATATTATAGAAACTCAAATTAATAAAAAGAAATAATTTTATTTTATGAATTTTTAAATTTTTTCCTGTTCTACTGTACCTATTCTATTTACTTCTTTATTACTTTCATTTATTTACATATTTATTAAACTACACTGTTCCACAGAATTTCTGTTTATATTGGAGGTATTAAAGTACCTATAAGACAACTATTTTTTCAATTGAAGTGAACTGAATTACCTATTTCTCATAAAAAAAATTTAGACTCAAATCGTCCTTTTGTACATAATTCTTTACACATTTTTTGGACAAAATAAGTATATCGTACATATTTTTTATATTTTCTCATTATTATGTATATTCACAATTAAAATTCTATTTATATTAATATGCAAATTTTTTTTATCAAGAATTACTTAATATTAATTATTAAAAATATAATATTTTCCATTTCTGTTTATACCAAAGTAAGCCGCTTTATTCACAAATCGTAATTATAACGTAACTTTCCGTTATGAACAACTTTTCTTATTAACATTTTTTTTATATTATCAAAAACAAAAGCAGTTTATTCTTCAACGTTATTAATTTTGTTAAATTTCTGATCACCCTGTATATATATTTATTACAGTTTTTCATGACAAACGTATTCAATTAAAAAGCAAAATATTTTTTGTCACGAATTACTTTTTCTAGTAGAATAGAAAATAAAAATGTTTTCCCTCTTATCCACTAACCGTAGATACTAATATAGGTATATTAATTATAAATTATGGTTTTAAATAAACTAAAAATTGTTTATATTTCATATTTTCTAAAATTATATAATAGTATGGACTTGCACTGTTACTTATATACTTTTATACAAAAATATATCTAAAATGATCATGACATTCTTTAAATATTTACGTATCAATTAACAGAAACCATGACTACCAATTCAGAATCAGGTTATACCAAATTAACCACATACAACAGCTGTTCGTTAAAAATAACCCGAGTCCATTCATAAATAAATTTTTACTAGTGCGACATCTATTACAAATCAAGCGAATTAAAAGTCGGAGATAATGCTATTCATGAATGAATATTTTTTAATAATTTTATTCCAATATAACTTTTTAAATAATAAAGTGATGAACAAACTATGAAATAAAGTCTAATCAGTTTATTTATTTAAAGACAACTATATAAAAAATTGCATAATTCTATAATACTATGAAGAAATAATCGTTTCTTTGTAAAAGTCCAAAAAACCTTCATATTTAGAAATTAATTTCTCACGAATTATTTACCTATCCCAATTAATTTTTGCTTTACTGTCTTCATTTATACTTTGCCAAATGTGATATGAAATTTTACTACTTTCTTCCATTGCTTTAAAAAGATATATTGGAATAAAAAAAGGGTTGTTTTCTACCATTTTTCGGTATAATTTAGGCAACCAGAGATGCATCAGTTTCCATCCTTAATGAGAGACCAGCAAGCGGGAGGAGCGCAGTTCCGGCGGATGTACGTGAGCGCCGCTTCCGATCGCGCTTGAGATTTTTGTCTTGAACGTTTAAAATTCGGTTAAAAAATCTCGTGCGACATGAGGGATTATCTCTAAAACTACATACGTCCTATAGTTAACAATTAACATTATATAAATATAAAAAAAGTTATTTTGGGAACAAAGAGTAGGTGATTTCTCATTTTTTTTTTAAAGTTACTGTAAAAATAAGCACTATTTAATGTAAAAAGAGCGAATTCCTGAGCGGCTTTTATCTAACCCTGGGACAATTTGTTTATAACAATAAAAATATAGTAAAATTTTCATCTGTAAGAACAAAGGATGAAATGTAGTATTAATTTGTGGTGATTTCAATATGGCCAATGTTTCCTGGATTAATAAATAACAATGATTCACATTTGATTCCAACTAATGTTAACCTGTATTCAAATATATTAATAGATGCATTGTCATACTGTGGGTTAATGCAATTTAATAATATAGTAAATTTTACTGACAATTTACTAGACTTAGTCCTTTCAAATAAAAATTGTGTAAAAAATTTAAGTTATTGTACTAATGCTCTAGTTGTTGAAGATGTTTATCACAAACCCATCGAATTTATTCTCGCTTGTTCCGTAGTGAAACCATTAAAGCATAATAGTCTAAGTAGATACAATTTTAGAAAAGCTAATTATGAAGTAGCCAATGAATACTTTCGCAGTTTGCTGGTATAGTATTTTTTTTGGATAAATCTGTCAATGATTTATTGAAACTTTTTTATGAAAAGATAAACTTTGCCATCGCAAATTTTGTCCCTAAAATAACAATAAATAGAAAATATCTTACTTACTTTAGATATAATACTATAAAAATTATTAAAGAGAAAAATAGGATTCGTACAAGGTGGAAGGTGTATCAAAATGAGATTGATTATAGTAATTTCTGCAACTTAAGGCGTAAAACTAAGAAAATGATTAGGACTGATTATAATAACTATGTAAGAGCTATTGAGGATGGTATATCTGAGAATACAAAAAAGTTTTGGCACTATGCTTCAGTAAAAAAAGCTCAGCCAGGTATTCCAAATGTCATGTTGTATAACGATACCTATGCCAAAGATGGCAACGCTATTTGTAGTCAGTTTGCATCATTTTTCCAAACAGCGTATGAACCTTATAACCTACTTATAATATAAGTAGTATAAGAGTCGACCTTGATGAAGTTCTGAATATTCTGTTCAACTTAGACGAAAATAAGGGTGCTGGCCCTGATAGAATTCCTTCATTCTTTG